CACGGGCGCGCAGGTCTTGCTCTCGTAACGAAGCGGTGCCCGTAGTGCTGCACGCGCCGCGACAGCGTGCCCTCCCACGCGCCGCCGTCGACGGTCTCGAGGAGCGCCGCCTCCTCGTCGGCGCTGATGAAGTCGTGCACGAGGGCCACGCCCGCGGCGGCGAGCGCGTCGCAGACGCTGCGCGACGCGGCCTGGACGTTCGCGGCGGCGTAGGCCGCGTTGTTCGCCGCGCAGACGGGTTTGTAGGGTTTGACTGCTGGCGGCGCGGTGTTTTGCGGCGGCGCTTTCATACCGTCGTCGACGAGGCGCACCGCGGCGGCCATGGGATCGATTAGCTATCGAGGATGGCAGCCGTGATTGGAAGCCATCGCCCCCAGCAAAACTTCACCGTCCTCGAGTTGCAGTCGACGTCCTCGATCGCGCAAGCACGGCTGGGAGAGCGAGCCCATCGCCCTGGTCTGGGCGAGCTCCTTCGGTGTCCGCTAAGTCGCAGCTCAAGGGAGTCCAGACGCGCCTGCCATCGTTACCCGGACGTCATGTCCATGACCGCGCCGGCGTAGGGGTACTCCTCGCCCGGCGCGTAGACGCCCGCGAAGACCTTGAGCTCCGCGAGGGCCGTCGTTTGCCCGGCGCCCCAGAGCGCGCCCTCGCCCTCGTAGTAGACGCCGAGCTTGGAGAACGCGCGCCGCTCCGAGCCCGGGCCGCGGTCCTCGGACGCGCGGAGGGGAATGCACAGGCCCTCGACGCCGAAGTCGATGCCGCGGTCCGGCGCGTCGGACGAGATGGAGTTGCAGCCGATGTGGGACGCGCTCCGGAGCTTGAGCGGCTCGCCGCCGTCGCGCAGTAGGAAGAGGAAGGCCGCGGGCGACGGCCGCGCGTTGCCTGGGCAGGAAAAGGGTGATTCAAGTTCGCTTCAACGTGAGCGTTCCGCGCGCGCGCGTTCCGGAAAAAGCATCCACGCTTCGAGACCGTTCCGAGAGATGATCGCTCGTCCAAAAATCAGCCGAAACGAGTGGGAAACGGCCGAGAGAGGAGCCTTTGAAGTTGGGAATTTCGCTCTCTTTTGCTGCCCTGCGCGTTGCCCATCGACGCCCAGCCCTTGGGGTTGTAGGCGCCGATTTCTTCGCCGTCCTCCGTCTTCGCGTAGACGACGCAGGCCCCGCGCCCGTCGCAACCCCGGTGGAAGGCCTCGGCGCTCCAGCCGTCGCGCTCCGCGTCGTAGGCCAGCTCGAGCGCCCGCGTCGTCAGCTGGTTCCGCGCGAGCAGCGGCCGGAGCCGCGATAGGAGCGCGTCGTCGGAGGCCAACGGCTCCGCCCACTCGTCGAGCACGGCGGCGTACTGCTCGGGCCAGCGCGACCGCCGGTCCTCCTCGAACTCCTCGTCGGTCATCGGCGCCGGCAAAAAGGCGTCGAGCCAGCCCTGGAGCGCGACGCCGCGGCGCGGCATCGCGGCGCGGTTGCTGGTCGTCACCAGCGCCGTGCAGCGGGCCGCGCCGAGCCACAGCAGCAGGCGGATCTTGCCGACCATGCTGGAGAGCTGCAACAAGGCTGCTCCATCGCATCAACTCCGGCTCAGCAGTGCTCAACCGCCCCCTCGTCGCCTGCGCCTGCTGCGCGCGCGCGCCGGTGCCCAAACCCCACCGCTTTCGCCGTCGGCACTCCGCCGCGCCGCCGGCCCGCGGAGACCATGTCGCTCTCGTTCTTGAGCAAGAAGACCTGGCACACGTCGAACGTCAAGAACGTGGAGCAGGTGTGGATCGCCGAGCAGAAGAAGGAGAAGGAGGAGAAGAAGCTCAAGGAGCTCCAGAAGCAGATCGACGAGGAGCGGCAGATCGACGAGCTGCGGACGCTCCAGAAGGAGAGCGGCCTCGTCACGGACCCGAAGCAGAAGGTCGAGTGGATGTACTGGAACGGCGTCGAAACAAAGACTTCAAACCTCTCTAGCTCGGTCAAATCGAAGTCGATTCGGCTGATTTTTGGACGAATCGATTGCCCTCGTCGAGTTCTCGAAGCACAGCAGAAGAGCGTGCGTCGAAACGGTCGCATATGCCCACATTGAAGTCAGGTTGATTTCCACACAGGTACGAGGGCCCCGGCTCCGCGATCGCTTCCGCCGCCGCGGCCCAGGAGTACAAGCTCGGCAAGGAGTACACGCCGACGGCCCAGGCCGAGAGCATGGACGCGCTCGCGTCGAAGCAGGCCGCGGGCTCGACGTGGCTCGACAACACGGCGTCCGACGAGAACGAGCTCTTCAGCCGGCTGAACGCGGACCCGCTCTACGCGATGCAGAAGTCCCTCAAACGGGACCGGGAGAAGCAGGTGTTGCAGAACCCGCTGGCCATGAAGCGCATC